TGGAGTTTATATCAGGATTGGAAAAATACTGCAAAAGCTAAGATGAGCCTTGATGATTTCATGGATACTTTTTGGAAACACATTTACTGGTGATGCACCTGAGTATATCACCAGTGTTGCTCCATCACTGCTGACGAGAACAGTAATACCCTATTTGAATTTGGGCAGAACCAATTGCGAATTTTGATGGTCTCCTATGCAGGAGTGATGGAAATTCCTCCGTTACTTTTTACACTGGTCCTCTATCACTCAGAGGATAGTCTCTGTTAACCTAACCATGAGGGTAGTTAAACACCATACGGAGAATTTCCTTCATTAAAAGATTTCAAGGAGTGACTGTCAGAGGCAGTCTAGGTAGGCTTAGGTCAGCTTATCATGCCTGGGGAGGGGGACATTGAAGTGGGGAGGAGGGATGGGACACTGATCTCTTCAGGTCCCTTCCAGCCTTACATTGGTCTGATTTTATCAGTATTTCTATTTCCTGGACCCTATATTCAGGGGTGTGAGTTTCATTCATTCAGGTACATGTCCATGAGAGCTTGTCTTGATGCTATTTCATTATGTTCTTACATTACTCCTCCTCTGATCCTACATACTTTACAATTCACGCTGTGCTCTCTATTTATATCATGCCAGTTCCAGGAATGAAGCACTATACTTTCATTATACGACTAGCAGCCTGAAGGCTTAATGCTCCTCTGGAAACTCAGTGAAGAGAGAGATGCAGCCATAAAAAGGCAACAAGAGTACTTCTGGTACATAACTGAGTTGAGAGAGGTGTTTTCAAGAAAGGAAAGGCAAGTCATAGAAATGGCAAGTCTGAGTGTATTACGTGAATAGAAAGCACCCATTAATGGAGGTAATTCAATTCTCCAGGTATGTTAGGGTTGTAGAAAAGACTGAAGGCAGTGAGAGTCCCCCTAGCCATGGATGCATGAAGCTAAATCAAGTTTAGCTTTATCACTAGAAAGAACCAATGCTGATGGGGCAGGAGTGAAGTACAAAGGCAGCAGAGTAGCCATGAAAAACAAAACATTTCTTAAATGGGAAATGGGATATTTCTTAGCTCTCTTTCCACCCCACCACCAAGAGTCAGTCACACACGGCCATTTTAAGAAAAAATATAAACTCAGGTCTTTACACTGAGTTTCATCCCTCACTGGAACAAAACTGAGACCTTTCCAAATTTGGGGGTGGGAATAAGTAACAGAAGAAACCCATACCTAATAGTCCACTGAGTGAGGCACTTGCCTGGGAGATTCAGGTTCACTTTCCTGATCTGATTTAGGCCAAGCAGGGACTTGAACCCTAATCTTTCATGTGAGAGCCTTGCCCTAGTTCATTTACACCAGAAGCTTGAACCTGGTTTTCCTACATGGCAGAAAAGTTCCCTAACAATCAAACTAGAGAGTCAGCCTCAGCCTGGCTCTCGCTCCCAATTAATATTTACTTCCTTATACAGAGCAGAAGAGGCCCAGCAGGAGAGGTTGTGTGGAACTGAACCTATAGCCTAATCACCTGAGATGTGGGAGAACCAGGCTGAGGCAACCCCTGCATGCATATCCCCAGCATCACCACCCAGCTTTCTCTGATTAAATCTATTAAGTATTCAGAGATGTTTTTCTCAAACAATTCCAGACCAGCACTAGCATGATTTGATGCTTGAAACAAAAAAAATGAATGAAGGAGTGGGGAAAGAAGACAATATTC